ATATATATATATATATATATATATATATATATATATATAAAGGGTGTTGGAAACAGCCGCCACCATAGGGAGGAGAGCAGCAGTGCAGCCCAGGACCAGCCTCAAGCACCACCTCCTGGAGGGAAGACCCATACCCGCTACCAATATACGCCACAGCAGATAGCCAACCCCCTGCAGATCCCACCACGGCCCCTGCCAGTCATAGCTGCGCCGGGCCCCACATCTTTACAGTCCTCTCATACCCATCACTGCCAGGCAATCACAACCCATGTAATCCACCTCTCTAGGCTGAGAATTGCATGCCAGCCATCCTAGCCCAGATGCCAGGCACCCCCGAGAAGTCCCCCAGCCAACTGTAGGCATAGGCCGCATGCAGAGCCAGGGCAGGGAGAGATGCATCCTGGCACGGTGATTGTATCCTACCTGCCGTAGAGCCACGCCAGCCAGCCGCTCCCGCCAGGAAGGGTGGGGCCAAACCCTCTGATGTCCCAGATGGGGTTCTCCAAGGATGCCAGTTCTCCTACTGACCCTAATAAACACCCTATTCTCCACCTGGGGAGCAAGGCATCAAGCACCAAGGGCAGACCCCCAGCCCGGAGTGCATGACCATAGTGCATGTATACAGAAATCTGGTGCCATACTTTACTTTTACTTTCCTGTGGGAAAGCAAAATTGAAGATGAGATCTCCTTTATGTCACATTTACATCTACTAGATATAAATGAGGACTGATTGAGACCAGAGGTTTTCTTATTCTTCTCAAATTTCTCTCCTGAGAAACACCTTAAGTCTCAGTGAGCCTTGTGTGAGTTCTCTAAAATCTTTTATAGCTCTCTTTTTTTTTCCAGATCTCAGCTAAGAGAAAAATAAAACAATGTGCAAATTTCAAACATGTCTCAATTTCATCTCCTTATTTGGAATCCAGTGTCTCAGTTTTGCCTCATTGAGAAATAAACATGCTATCTCTCACTGTTCATTCAAATTAATCTCATCTCATTCTTTAATTGCCATTCAAAAAACAAAGATAATTGGGTGACAGTGGCGTAGGATGCAGGACTTCACGCAGTTGAAGCCCTGGTTCTGGATTTCAGTGTCGTCATGTCCTCGGGCGAATGACTGAATGTAGTGAGAAGTGCTTTGGTCATTTACCATCGTGAGATCTCTTTTCCTAATGAAATGGTGCTCAAATGATTTTCTCAACTCGTTTTTGTGATGTCTTGTCTCTTTTTATCTTATCTCTTGCTCCTGAGGGACCCTTAGGACAAGTAACTCAGAAGCAAATGATACGAATATGAGAAGCTCAAACTGATCTCAAGAGATGAGATTGAACAACAGATGAGCAACACGTTTTTCCTATAAAAAGATGACCATCATCTCAAAGGCTTCCTAAAGAAGCTGCTCCAGTCACCAAATGTTTGGATGTGAATAAAACAAAATAAATGATGAAATGCAATGAAAGGAAGGAGTCAGAGTGCTGCAGGACCTGTTGTGCTTTATTAACTACAGATTAAAGGTGGAGGACGAGCCTTAGCCAAGACCCAGATCATCAGAAGAAACAAAGCACACAGAATAATGCTGTTAGCCAGCCTTCCTTAGAAAGGAGGGAAAACTGATGCTTATTTCATACAACTCTTTAGGAGCGGTTTGATCATGGAGGAGATGGATGGCAACTTAACTCTTAATTTATTCATCCAGTTCTTCATTAGTCATTACTGGTTCTAGTCCAGAGCTTTTAGAGGAAAATACTCTGAAGTTCAGACATAAACAGTACATTAAATTACGCTATCAAATGGTTGAAATGTACAAAGCAGTAGGTCGGAGCTGTCTGTTGGAGAGCCGTGCTTTTTCTACAACAGAACCTTGGAACGATCTAAAACAGTCTGTATTTTATAGTAGGCATGTTTCGGTGAAACCGGTTATTATGTCACGTCATGAAGCTTATGTCACATCCACAGGAAGAACGGCAGCAGCAGCAGCATGTGAAGAACAACAGACTAAAACAGGAAGTGCAACACAATTTCTAATAAACGTTGAAGAGCAACAAGAAGGTGAAAAGCTACAGATTGCACTAAAGCCACTGTGGTGATGGCAGGAGGACCGGTCAGCTTGCCCTGTGGATGGGGTCTCGCCCACTCTGGAGGGACGATGGGCGGGCTCCTTCTTTAAATGGCTTCCACATAGTTGGCGGGCAGCATGCCGGTCTTGCCGGTGCGCTGCACGGTGCCGTACATCCAGCCCTCGTCGATGGACTGCACGTTGACAATGACGTCGCCATCTTTGAATGACACCTCGTCGCTGTCCGCCGCCGTGTAGTCGTACATGGCACGCACGGTTTTCTACAGGAAGCAAGGAGACGAACCAAGGGTGTAACTTTGTGATGAAAGTTGGTGGGGACACGGACTTACAGTTACTCGACACAGATGCTTTTAAAAAAGGGTTTACATTTTCCAAAAATGAGATTAAACATATATTTATTGATTGCTTTCCTATTGTTGAGAACACAAAAGATCCAAAATACACTAATATTTATATTTATAGGTAGTCAGACATAAATGTATAAAAAAAAAAAATGGATAAATGCCAATTCCGATGCCAACAGCACAATATCATGCCTCCCTAGTATGTACCACTGGAAAAATGATCTAGAAATAAGTAAAAATGTCTTAAATTAAGTGTATTTAACCTTAATTTGAATAGTTAAATTAGATAGTTTGCTAATGGAATTAGTATTTTTATTCTCATAAGATAATTAGATAAAATGCCTTTGAAATAAGACAATGCAATGGTGTTTTCTTATTTTGAATGTAAATTGTCTTGTTCCATTGGCAAAATGTCTCTTTTACCTCCTCAATTCAAGAACAAATGCACTTATTTTAAGAAAAAATCTAGATTTCGATTTTTTCCAGTGCAATTTCAGTTTCATCCATCCATCCAGAAAAATGCGGATTGATTGATGGATGTTTTCCCTTTCAGCTACATTAGTGATTATCCTCCTTCAAAAGCAGCAAAATCAAATTTAGAAATTTGTCCCACATATTGCCAAAGTCTACGTATTGAAATTATTGGTGGGGACATGTCCACACCAGTCCATCAGAAAGTCTGTGAGACGAACTGATGAAGGGCCGAAATGATTCGATACAAACCTTTACATTCAGGCTGCAAAGACATGAAACTGTATTTTCAGGGGGAGAATCTATACGTGCATCTGAGTCTTGTTTTGAAAACCGTTTAAATGAAATACAGTGAGTACAAGGTGAGTGCAGGTGACTGACCCCGGTGGTAGATGGGTGTGAGGGGATGGAGGAGACTGTGGTCTGCTGGGTGGCCACAGATGAAGACCTCTGCTGCAGCTCCACAGTCCTGGTCTGCTGGTATCCTGCTGATATGAGATGAACAATCAGCCAACAAAGAGTCATGGAACAATCAGGTGAGACTGTATATGCTCCAATATATGTACAGATATGCTGATGATGTGATTGTAGATAGTTACCCATAGAGTTGGTCGTGAAGCCGTTACTGTAGAGAGACAGATGGTGGTCAGCATCCTGGGAAAGCTCAGACTTCTCATCGGCCAGGCCGCTCAGGGCGCTGGTGGAGCGGGAATGCTCCTTGCTGCGACGCTGCGCTTGCACTGTAAAAACAAAGTCAGCATGAGAGAGTTTAATGGTACATTTTAAACTGTTTATTCAAATTAAGGACAAAACCTTAATGCTTAATGTTAATAACCACAAATGCTGCCTTTAAAAAAAAAAAAAGAAAAAAAAAAAAGGATATTTTCGCGAGTTTATTTTATTTTTGCCAAAGGATTTTTCTTTGTAAGACTGCAAAACATTCTATAAATAATTATAAGTTTCTTAACATAGGTGTATTTACCCTTAATTTGAGTAAATAAGATGATTGGCTAATGTAATGAGAAATTTTACTCTTATAAGATAACTGGACAATATGCACTTGAAATAAGACGATGCAGTTATTTTTGTTATTTTAAATGTTAATTGTCTTATTCCATTGATAAAGTGTCTCACTTACCTGTGCAATAAAAGAAAAAAAATTACTTGTTTTAAGAAAATTTGACTTTTTTGAAATTTGAAATTTTTTGCAGTGTAAAGAAAGACACTAATCCTTCTTTGGCCTTTATCCTAAAATCCAAAATAAAGTTAATCGTAAATCTATGAATGGGTGAAATATGCATAAAATGAATGGAATTTACAGCAGAGCTTTAAAAGTCAGGAAGGAAACCAAGATGAGACGACGAGAACAGAAGAAACAAAGAAAAGAAAGGAGGTCAAAAAGTACAAATGAGGGAAGAAAGAAGGAATGAGGGAGGACAAGGTTAACAGTGGACACAAAAAATTAAATATATGACCGCTAAGTACATGAATAATCAAGAAGATACAAGGAAATTAATCAAGAGTGAAAGAGAAAACAAGACAGGACAGAAAGAAGGGAAGGAAAGAGAAAAGGGAAGCAGGAAAAAAGGAGACAGGAGGAAGAGGGGCAGGGTAAAAAAGATCAAATGGAGGAAGAAGGAAGCGAACACTAAGAGGACGGATCAAAGGAAAGGCAGAATAAAGAAAGGAAGGCAATAAAAAAAAGGACCTCAAGAGAAAAAAGCATGATAAGAAGAGCTATCTGGAGAATAAAAGGTGAATAAAAAGGAAACACAAACATTTTCCAGCTCTTCTTTGCTTTTTCCATAACATCCAAAATACTAACCTTAAACACTTCCCAACCTTTCTGAACTGTGTGGAGGGCCTGTGTTTTGAAATAAATTCTAAATATTTGTTGAATCCTACCTGACATCATGTGCAGACTCCTGGACTGGATGTTGTCCTCGGCGGGGTCATAGTCGAACACGGAGCCGGGGTTGGTGCGCCACACACGCAGATCTATAACAAAACATTGAAAAGATGCATTTTATCTCAGCCTCCTGTCTGTCTCATAAAGGGTAAAAAAAAAATACTGATATACGTTTATTTATTTTCATAAAGAAAATAAACATCCTTAAGATACGTCAAGTTACCGTGCAGGTGAAATTAAATTATTGCTTTACTGACTTAATGAGATTAACAGCTTTAATTATTAGTAGCTGATCTAAAAGGACTGGAACTTAGCAGGAGTTAGAGGTCATACCGGTGATGGTCTCCTGGTCGTGCTCCATCGCACGTCTCCTCTCCATCTCCACCACGCGCCTCTGGATGCCGCGGTAGCTGATGTCACTGAAGTCCTGCGTGTTCTTCTTCACGCGTTCGGTCACGGGGTCAGAGATGGTGGGAGTGAAGCTACCCTTGCTTTTCTCAAAGTCCTCGTGGTATTTTACCTGAATGAGGCAAATAGAAGCCATATGAATAAACAGTGTTAAAAAAATATATTATTATTTACAAATAAAGCTCACTTAATACGTCTGAAAATAAGCTAATACTCAAGCCAAACGTTGCTCTGTGTTGCCTTAAATAAATGCCAGTGCATCCGACCAATTTAAACTTGGGAAGCCATCACTGAAGCAACATCATCCAGCAGGTAAAGTACGGTAGTGGCAGCATCATGAGCCAGGATGGAATAGTTGATATTGAATTTATTACAATAGAAATATGTGGCTAAAACCTGGAAGCTGTTGAAATTCTCAATCAATTAGATTTCAGACTTTTTTTTGTTGCTATTAATAGACAAAAAAATCAGATTTTCAGAGATTTACACCCCAATTAGTCACGGACCACAAAACAAGCAGTGGCGGTTCAAAAAATTTACATGGGGGGCAGGGATTTTACATGAGGAGGTGAATAAGACATAAAAAAAAAAGAAAAACAGAATAAGAGCTCTATCTATAATTCATTTTGCTTAATAAAAAACTAAAGAAAATCCTTTTTTATTTAACATTTCCCTACTAAATTAAATATGTAAAAAACAGATAACGAGCATAACAATTAATATTTTTAAACTTTGCTTTGGGCTCTAAGGTATAGTCAAGTAAGCATTATAAAAGGGACATTTTTTTATATACTATTTTAGGAAATAAATTTGAAAAAAAAAATACTTTCTGATTTTCAATTGTTTCTGGTTATAAAAAAAAAAACCCAAAACAAAGCAGTGATCTCAAATATCAACTGTAAACTGTAACCAAGAATTGCCCCATTGTGGGACAATAAAGGGATTTTCTATTCTATTCCAAACTGAGAGCAACAAATGATTTACACTGGAAAAATTATCAAAAAAAAAAAAAAGTAAAAATTTCTTAAATTAAGTGTATTTACCCTTATTTGAGTAGGTAAATAAGATACAGTAGTTTGCCAATGGAATGAGTTTATTCTTCACATAAGATATTTAGATAAAATGAACTTGAAACAATGGAATTGTGTTCTCTTATTTTAAGTTTAAATTGTCTTGTTCCATTGGCAAAATGTCTCTTTTACCTCCTAAATCTAAGAACAAATGCACTTATTTTAAGAAAAAATGACTTATCTAGATTTCAATTTTTTCCATTGTATAAAAACTATATGGTAGAGTCAGTCTAGAATACCTAATTCTACTGTCGTCAAAGAGGAATCATTAATTAAAAAATGTGCATTAAAAACAAAAAAACATACTCCAGAAATGATGCGCTGCGTCTCTCTGACACGCCTCATCTCAGGGGTGTCCAGAACGAAGGCGGCCTTGCCCTGGACCTGCCTGCGGAAGCTGTCAGAGTACAACACCTGGAGGAGGGAGAATAGGACAGTGAGAGTCGCACAGGTGAGTCCAGGAGAGCGTCAGGAGCAGAAGAGGGGGGAACATTTAAGAGGACGCACAAAGTAGAAGGCAGGAAGAAGATTACTGGAAAATCAGACAAATGAATTAGAAAGGAAGATTTTTTTTTATGTCTTTGATTAGGAGATGAAGAGTTAGTTATGTTCCAATCTTCAGAGGATGAACGGCAGGAAAAAAGAACGTCTACAGGAACAAAAGAGGTTAGAGGATGTGTGGGCACACCACAGCTGCTGGGATTAAACATGTTCAGAGAGCGCAGTCAGGATAATTAATGAGATTAACTGAAGCAGGGGTCGACTCAGTTAGAAAAAGGTTAACAGGAGGAAGAACATTGTGTATTTGAGGGTACCGAGCTAATGTTCTCTTGGTTCCTTTTGACCCGCTCCATCTCAGGAGTAAAGACCACAGGAGTTCCCTTGGCAGAACTGTCCTTATACAAGACCTAAAGGACAATAAACACAGCCCCCATTATAACCACACCACCAAACATATTGACAGATTTGGACTCTTCAAGCGTGAACTAGTTAGAAAAAAATACATAAAACTGATTTATTCTCAATATGTGATTGTGTTTTCTTTTTTATGTCTATATAAAGAGGCATTCAGCCAGGATCACTGCTGTGGGAATGAAAAACATGGGGGCAAACAATCCTCACAGCTCAGCAGAAGATTTAGCTTCTCATTCGCTGGAATGTTAAACATTATCAAGTAGACTGCCACAGATTGATGAAGAAAAAGCTTGGCTGCAGGTTAGAAAATATCGTATTAAAAGGCCAAAGAGGCAGGAATGATGTAGAAGATTAAAAGGTAAAGAGAATATCAGTGGAATAGAATAGAAAAACAGATGGATATTATAGCAAAATTAGGGTGGAGATGGTGGAGCTCAAGAATCTGCAGGATGAGCCTTAAATAAAGATGGATGGGATGAAGAGGAGGATAGAAGAGAGCAGGAAGGAGGAGGAGGTGGAGGAGGAGAGGTAGCCATGATGGAAACTACTGTCTGCACTCAAATGTTAGGAGCACACTTGGTTCGGCTTTGTTCCACTACCGAGCTGATGTGCTTCTGGGTTTCTTTGACCCGCTTCACCTCGGGCAGGTCCGGTATAGCTGTGCCTTGACCCACAGAGTCCTTGTATTTTATCTAGCAAACAAATATTCAAGGGTTTTATGCAGAGACGGTAAAAGAAGAGAAAAAGCAGATCAATAACAGACTGTGGCACAAAGGCAGACAATAACATCACAAAAAAACAACAACAAAATGAATAAATGGAAAAAAGGAGATGGGACATTTCTGTTCCTGAGAAAGGAGGGAGCTTTTCTGGTTAGACCAAATGAAAGCTGTTTAAATGTTAGTGTTATAGTGGATGTCAAACTCTTCATTGGCATAAATTACAGAAATGATTGAGCTGTTTTGTTTTTCTCTTCTGCAAAAAAAATTGAAAAAACTAAATAAAAAATGTAAATTTATTGCAAATTTGTTTCTAAATCCTTCTGAGTAAAAAACTAAACATATAGGTTTAAACAATATAGAAAAAAATGATTCTAATTTGGTATTTGGCCATTTTAAAGTCAGAGCTCTGGTCCTGAGGTTGCTTTTAAACAGAGTCCATAATGACTGAGTGGAGTTAATCATTAACTCTAGTCTACTTCATTAATTTCAGACCACTTTTAACTAGTGTCTGTGATAAGGTTATTATCGTTAACTAAAACTAATGATGTAAACATAAACTAGAATTCAAAAACATTTTTGTTAATGCTAATCAGAATCAAATCTAGACCATGAAAACTTACTAAAACTGTAAAAGGACTTGAAGTTGAATTTTAGGAGAGAATTTGCTTAGTTTAATGCATTAATATGTGTTCTAGTTTCCAGTTGCTGATTTTGACTGTATGTACGTTATTTTGCCAGCAGATAGCGGTAACGGCATCCAGGTCAATTTAATTGCTGCAGCGTTCAGCCATCTGTCATATTATTTATTTTATTCTATTTTATTATAAGTCTCGTCTGTTGACGGTATGCAAGCTGTACAACATAAAAGATTAAAACTATAAGTGGAATGAAGAAAAACTAAACCTTAAGCTCATTTTTCTTTTTTAGCTAAAAAAAAAAAATACTAAAAAACAAAGTAAAACTAAAGTTGAATAAAAAATCAAACGTTAATAAAATATAAAAAATAATGAAATAGTAAAACTTTCCACTCAGAAAACATAGATGTGTCTTATTTTAACATTTGCTGAGGAATTTAAAGGTAGTCCTCCATC